ATAGGGATGAGATGGAGGAGAGGGAGGAGAGGGAGGATAGGGAGGAGAAGGATGAGAGGGAGAAGAGGGAGGAGAGGGAGGAGAGGGAGATGAGAGGGAGGAGAGGGAGGAGAGGGAGGATAGGGAGGCGAGGGAGGCGATGGAGGCGAAGGAGGCGAGGGAGGCGAGGGAGGAGAGGGAGGAGAGGGAGTAGAGGGAGGAGCGGGAGGAGAGGGAGGAGAGGGAGGAGAGGGAGGAGAGGGGGAGAGGGACAAGCTAGGTGCGCTCGCGTCATATCTGACATCCTACCCCTCCCTCCCATCCCTTACCATGGCGTAGATCCCCTCTCTACTCGCACAGTCGGATGTCGAGCAGGGCAATGATCCCGAAAGGGGACGCGATGCATTGTAGAGCACGGCGTGGCATGGCGTAGGCGTGGCGTGGCGTAGTGAAGAATTGCATCACAAAGCTGTGCAACGCAAAGCATGGCATCGCACAGTGGCCCCGAACATAGCATTGCATAGCATGGCGTTGAAGATCAAAGCGTAGCATGGCATAGCACGACGTGGCACTTAAGCACTGCATATCACAGCTTCAGCTGAAGGCATGGCATCGCGCAGCGGAACGCAACCTAGCATTGCATTGCATGCTGTGGCATGGCACGGGAAATGACGCCAGCGCTGCTGCGGGAGCACGATACGGAACGAGCGGAAGCGCGGAAATGAGGCCAGCGCTGCAGCGGGAGCACGGTTCGGAACGAGCGGAAGCACGGAAATGAGGCCAGCGCTGCAGCGGGAGCACGATTCGGAACGAGCGGGGCCCGACAATGAGGCCGGCGCCTCAGCGAGAGCAGCATTTTGAAAACAAATGCAGGCGAAAACCCAACTCCGGGGAATCCTGTGTGTAAAAAATACAGTACGCGGGGGGGGCGAACACTCCCAACCCGTCATCAGGGAAAGGAGGAGAGTTGTATTCATATTGAGTAATTGTGGAGAGGGAGTAGGAGGAGGAGAGGGAGGCAAGGGAGGAGAGGGAGGCGAGGGAGGGAGGGAGCGGGGTAGGCGAGGGAAGGCGAAGGAGGCGAGGGAGAGATGGAGGAGAGGGAGGAGAGGGGGAGAGAGGAGGGGGAGGAGAGGAGGAGAGGGAGGCGAGGGGAGGGGGAGGATAGGGAGAGAGGAGGAGAGGGTGAGGAGGCGTTGGAGGAGGGAGGAGGGGATAAGTGATGATGAGGAGGAGAGGGAGGAGAGGGAGGAGAGAGGAGGAGAGGAGGAGGAGGAGGGGAGGAGGGAGGAGGAGGAGGAGGAGGAGGAGAGAGGAGGAAGGAGGAGGAGAGTGAGGAGGAGGAGGATGAGGAGGAGGAGGAGAGGAGGAGGAGGAGGAGGAGGAGGGTAAAGGAGGAGCAAGGAGGAGGAGGAGGAGGAAGGAGAGAGGAGGAGAGGAGGAGAGGAGGATGGGAGGAGGAGGAGGAGGAAAAGAGGAGGAGGAGGGAGGAAGGAGAGGGAGGAGGATGAGGAGGAGGAGGATGAGGAGAAGGAAGAGGAGGAGGAGGAAGAGGGGAGAAGAGAGGAGGAGCAGGAGGAGGATGATGATGATGATGAGGAGGAGGAGGAGGAGGGATGCGGCGGAGGCGGAGGAAGAGGAGAAGGAGGAGCAGGATGAGAAGGAGGGGAAGGAGGAGGCGGAGGAGGAGGAGGAGGAGCAGGAGGAGTAGGAGGCAGAGGAACAGTAGGAGGAGGAGGAGGAGGAGGAGGAGGAGGAGGAGGAGGCGGAGGAGGAGGAGGAGGAGGAGGAGGAGGAGGAGCGTTTTTTTGCGAGGCTCCCGCTGTCTTGGAAGGTGCTGGCCGCACTGGTGCTCCACCTCAACAGCAGCGTTGGCGCCCTCGACCTGCTGCCCTCGGCGGGCGGCCTCGGCGGCGCGGCCGGCGGGCGCGGCGCGCTGGCCCTGGGCGGCGTCGCGCAGGGGACGTCAGGGTCAACGATAAGAGGGGGGATAGACCCATCAGATCTAAATCCAGACCCCCTTGCGTCGTGAAAAACATCACGACGGGAGGTTCTTCGTTATTTTCGGCCTCTGGGGGCCCTCACTGGGCCTCGAGACCGTCAGAAAACGACCCGGGATGACAAACCGGTCACAGGGAAGGGGTCCAGACCTCTGGGGTCGACGTCATGAACAAATCATGGCGTCGGGGGGTCTGGGTACAGATGCAATCGATCATTTGATTAAGAAGCCTCCACCTTACTTGGGCCAGGCTTTCTCTTAACCAGCTTGAGAGCAGGCCTAGTTTCTGGAAAACGTTCGCCCCGTCTGGCCTTAAACAGCAGACACTATCCCAGGGTTCTTTTGAGAAGCGTCAGGGAAGCTGCTCCAGATTTCTTAGCTGATACTGTTCTTAATCAACATGTACGCTTATATGCATGTATGTATATATGCATGTCTGCATTCATGTATGTATGCATGTATGTATGTATGTATGTATGCATGCATGCATGCATGCATGCATGTATGTATGTATGTATGTATGCATGTATGTATGTATGCGCGCATGTATGAATGCATGTATACATGTATGCATGCATACACATATGGATGCATACATGTATACATCTATGCATGCATTTATGTACGCATGTATGTTTGTTTGCATGCCTGTATGTCTATATATATGTGTATGCATGCATGCATACATGTATATGTGCACACATATTTGATTGTATGGCTGTATTCATGTTTTGTATTCATGGGTGTATGCGTGTGCATGTATGAATGTATGTACGTATGTATGCATGCATGCACGTATGTTTGTGGACATGCACCATGTATGCATGTATAATGTAATACATGCACGCATTTACGAATGTATGCATGTATGCATGCATGCAGGTATCTATGTATGTGTACATGCATATATGTATGCCTGCAGGTATGCATGCATGTATGCATGCATATATGTATGAAGGTATGTATGGATGCACGGATGTACGCATGCATGTATGCCTGTATGCTGGTATGTATGTATGTCTGTCTGTCTGTATGCATGGGAGCATGTATGTATGTATGTATGCATTTAGATATGTAGGCATGCATGCATGTATGTATGCATGCGTGCATGTCTGCCTGTCTGCCTGTCTGTCTGTCTGTCTATATGCATGTATACATTGTGTGTATTCATGTGTGCATGCATGCATGCATGTATGTATATGTATGTTTATACACATTTACAGCCGTATATCTATATACATATATATAGGCCTGGCACAACCACCGTCGCCAGAGTGACCCTTCGCCAGAGTTCCCCCTTCGCCAGAGTGACCCTTCGCCGGAATGACCTCTGGTGCGGGCTCATCGGGGCCCTCCCGATCGCTGAACGCGAAGCGGTAGCAGCGGCTTGCGCGCCCAGGTTGGCTACCCCGCGTGGCCCTCAAAAAGCCGCGCACCAAGGGTCTCTCTTGCCCAGGGTTAAATCGGGCTTGTCCCTCTACAGGAAGAATATTCAAAAATAATAAAAGCATAGCCTGGGGAATATTTTGAGTTTTTATTCTTCCTATTTTTGAATATGTGTGATTTTTGAGCCCAAAATCCGCCTGTAGGGGACATGCCTTACCTAAGCCTAGGGTCACTCTTGCGTGTAGCCGAAACGATAGGGGGGATACACCCATCAGACATCTCAAGAAAAAGCGTCGACTTTCGTGGGTAATTACCCTTAGCTCAAGGAGAAGCAAGAATCAGGACTGGACCATGAGCATTTTCGTCGACCTTTTCTCTGTAGAATGTGTGTGCGCGTGGACATGTACCACTGATTAAGAACACGTTTCGAGTGAAGTCCGTTTTCTTAGCCTCGAATTTTCTTAATTCTGAGCAGGGGACAACGTGGGATAGCATTACGCTCAAGGGCAGATTTTCAAGGTTTTCGGACGCTTTGGTTGGTTCTCGCCGGTCTCCCAGCCTCGGGATGCTCTCCAGCGGCTGCGCCTTGCCGAGAGCGTTCCGGGGGTGCCCAGATCGTCCCGAACGGCCGCCGGGAGCCGAGTTATGGCCCGAGAGCCATAATTAAGGGACCAACCAGTGACATAAACATCGAATGTCGGAGGTCCGCGCGGATTCCTCGGGTCGGCGCCGGGGGCCCCCGTGGCGGCGCCTCTGGCGCCGCCGCTGGCGCGGCCGCGCGCGCCAGGGGAGGGGGGTTCCAGCGCCGCTCCGGGAAGTCCGCTCGGACCTCCGAGTTTTGATGTCGCTGTCCTTGTTTGTTCCCACGACTAGTGTCTTCCACGACCGTAGAGAATTCGAAGACCTTGACACCACTGACTCCAAGGTGATGTTTCCTTCGCGCCACGGGCTTAAGTGTGCGTCAAGGTGGCCAGACCTTGAGCACGTGCGATTGTTCTTGTGCCCATCAAGAGTTGACCACTTGTCACCACCGCCGACAGAAAAAATATGTTTGTTCCCCCATATGGGGGGGATGCATCGATCCCCGATCGCCCCGTGATCGCCGATAGGGGTCTGATGGCCCCACCCAGCGCAGGAGCGTGGGCATTCGCTATCGGGAGCCCATCGCCGATTCCAGGTCGATGTCCCTTCCTGTGCCAGTCACCCCGTGTCGTTGCCCCTCAGGAAGGCGCCGCCCGGCCCGTTCCTGCAGAAGGAGCTCGACGGCAACAACGACGACGACGACGGCGACGACGACGACGACGACGATGTTGACGACGACGACGTTGACAACGCATTCGGTGGCGACGATGGCCACAACGACGACGAAGATGTTCATAGGATTACAATGTCCAAGGGGAAGCAAGTACCGATTCCATGGCGATGCTATCACCCAGCTTACTGTGCTTGCACGTTGCACGGGAGAGCTGATCGAGAATTCTAGAGTTCCAGAAGATACCGATACCTCTGAGATCCTGGCGCCGTGTTTTTTTTCAGCATGGACGTTTTCGCCCAGTTTTGGGCCCCGGGACCCTCCCAGATCGATCCGGTTCGAAAGATGACGCAGCAAGATGGGATCTGGGGCTCTGGTGGTGTGATTTTTGCGATGCTTAATTTTCTTGCACCGTCAGGTTCGAACGTCGCAGATGGGGTCAGAGGATATGGGGTCGGAGGATCGCGCCGCATCGCCAAGGCATCGGCGATGCGGCTCGATTTGGATCCCGACCTTCTCCACGCCGACGGCGCCGATGCATCGCCGAGACACCGGCGATGCATCGCCGAGGCGCGATCCTCCGATCTCGTGTGCTCGGACCCCGCTTGGGACTCCTCTGTACTGGACGTAAGACCCTGACATCTGGCGTGTCAGTTTTATTCGGGTCGGTCGATTTTGCCAGATTTCGGGCCCCTGGACCCTGACAGATCGACCCGCCTCGAAACGTGGTGCAGAAAGGTGGCGTCCAGGGCTCCGGCCGTGAATTTCCATTCTGTTGTAACTCATTCGCGCCTTCGGGTCTCGGGGTAAGAGTGGCCTTTCGCTGGAGTGACTTTGGTTCGGGACCAACCCCAGACATCCGACGTCTCGATTTTTTCGAGACACGAGCCCCCGACCTCCCGAACATTTGCCCGGGACCCGTTTTTGATCCCGAGACGGTCCCGAGGCTTGGCGAGGGCCCCGAGAGGCCGAACACGATGAAAAGCGCCCGCCTCGATTCTTTCGAGTCGCCCGATGCCTGGGACGGGACCCCCGATCGCGGAGCTCGAAGCGGCAGCAGCAGCTCGCGCGCCTGGGTTTGGCCATCTCGCGCCCCCTCTCTTGATAGCCCCGCGCCACTGGCGGCACTCCTCCGGCGATCGGCGCCTGTGGGGCCTGGGGGGCACGACGCTGTCCTCCTCGGGCCTCTTCGGGGTGCTGCGGAGAGCTCCGTCGAGGTCCCCGCCCGCACCCCAGGGTGCCCCCCACCCAGACCCCCGACGTCATGATTTTTTCATGACGCGACCCCCAGAGGTCCGGACCCATTCCCCGGGACCGGCTTTGCATCCTGAGTCGTTTTTTGACGCTCCCGAGGCCCGGTGAGGGCCCCCGGAGGCCCAAAATTAGGAAAAACCTCCCGTCGTGATTTTTTCATGACTCGAGGGGGTCTGGGCAGGGTGCTGATTGCAGACCGCACCCCTTGCAAACCACACCCTTCGGAGTCGCCGACTCCCACCCACGGCCGGGGCCTTTTGGATTGCGTGTCGTTTCGCCGCTTCGGGCCCACCATACGCTCCGGCGCGACACGCCGTCCCTTTCCCGGGCCCCCGGGCGCCGACGTCCCGCGCCTCTCCCCGCCTCCCACCCGCCAGAGAGCCGACGCTCCCCAAAAAGCGGAGTGGGCGGTGTCTGGTTGATCTCGGCCTCCGGGGGCCCTCGCCGCGCCTCGGGACCGTCAGGAAACGGCTCGGGACGAGAAACTGGCCCCAGGGAAGTGGTCCAGACCTCCAGGGCCGCATCGAGCGAACTGGAGCAGCGAGGTGTCTGGCCCCGCGGGGCAGGGCGACACGCCATCCGCTCGCAGGGCACAGCGTGTCGCCCGGGCCGTCGTTGCGACACGCTGTGCGCAAGTTCCCGACCCTGGGGCCCCTCCTGCGCGCCGCCGAGGAGCGGAGCTGGGCCCAGCGCGTCGAGGCGCTGGAGGCGCAGCTGGCGCAGGTCGGTGGGGCGGCCGACTCGCCGCAGACGCCGCGGATGAGGTCGGACCCCCAGAGGCACCTCGCCCGGCAGGTGCTGCAGAAGGATCGGAGGGCACCGGCCGTGCGCCTCGCGTCGTCGTCGTCGTCGTCGTCGTCGTCGTCGTCGTCGTCGTTGTCGTCGTCGTCGTCCTGGGCCCAGCAGGAGCCGGGCCAGGATCGGTGGAGCTCGTGCCAGCGGGTGCCCCGCCGAGGAGCACAGCTGGGCACAGCGTGTCGGGGCGCTGGAGGCGCGGCTGGCGCAGGTGCAGGCCGAGCACGAGCGCAGCAGCGCCCGCAGGGGGGCCCAGCGCTCGCCCCGAGAGCTCTCGACGCCCCGGGAGCGGCGGCTGCGCCACGCCTTCTCGTCGCCCCGGCTGGGCTCCTCCTGGCCCGACTTCGGCTTCGGCGACTCCCCGCTCAGCGCCCGCCGTGGAGCTCACCGCTCGCCGCTCTCGCCGCCCTGGGAGGGCTGGCGCGCGTCGCCGTCGCCGCCCGCGGCGAGCTCGCCCGTCGCCGACCTCGCCGGCGACCTCCCGCCGCCGCCGCCCAGGGCGAGCAACGCCCGGGCGGGGCAGCTCCTCAGCGCCAGGCAGCGGTCCAGGGGCCAGCTGCAGCAGAAGGCTCGAGGGACCAGCAGCGACGCGATCCGACGTGCGAGCTTCGGAGCTCCGCGCGGAGCTCCGGAGGTTCCCCACCCCAGCGCTGCAAGAGAGGGTCCTGACAGCGGCAGAGCCGGGCCACAGAGAAGTCCCGCAGGGGGGACGGGAGGCCCGAGGACGCCCCGCCCTGTAGCAGTTTCGCTGGAGACCTCCTTACAGTTTATTTTGAAGTCGCGCTCTCGCCTCGATGCCGGCTGCAGTGTTGGTCTGGACGGCCACCATCCTTAGTTTTCAAATGCACTTAGGTTTAAGTCGGGCCTGTCCCCCTACAGGGGGATTTTCGACCAAAAATTAAAAATACCCTGAAAATGCACCAAAAAGGCCGAACAATATCCCAAAGCAGTCCCCAGACCATTTTTGGATTATTTTTTGATTATTTTTGGGGTATTTTTGATTTGACGTCGAAAATCCCTCCGTAGGGGGACAGGCCCGACTTAAACTCAGGTGCGCATGGCCGAGCTCTCTCGGCCCTGTCCCTGATAGCCGACCTCCTGCTCCTCGGCCCGCACCTTCACCTCTGTGCTGCTATTCGGACGCTCTGCTGGGGGCATTTCTCCCCCCCACCCCGAGATCCGACGGCGAGGAACAATGGGCGAGGAACAATGGAAACATCGTAGAAATCATGGCGGGCGCCCCAGACCCCATCTTTCCATGCCATGTGTTCTCGAGCCGGCGAGGTTCGCTCTCGCCCCGCAGGCCAAAAAACGTGTTCTCGAGCCGGATCGACCTGCGAGGGACTTGGGGGCCGAAGCGAGGCAAAATGGCCGGCTCGAACATAGCTGGCATGCCAGGATCTCAGGGTCTTGCGACCAGTACAGTTAAGTCGGGCCCGTCCCCCTACAGGGGGATTTTCGACGAAAAATAAAGAATACCCCAAGAATAGCCCCAAAATAGTCCAAACAGTCTGGGGACTATTTTGGGGGTATTCTTGACCTTTTTGGGGTCTCGTCGAAAATCCCCCTGTAGGGGGACAGGCCCGACTTAACAGTACAGAGGCAGCCCCAACGGGGTCCGAGCACCCGGGGTCGGGTGGGCGCGCTGGATCGCCGATTCTCGGCGATGCGACTCGAAGGAGCCCGATTCTGTCCACGTCGACGTCGCCGATGCGTCGCCGGTGGCAGCGCCCTTCCCGAACAAGGGACGAGGCCGAGGACGAGGACGAGGACGAGGACGAGGGCGAGGACGAGGACGACGACGACGACGACGACGACGACGGCGGCGGCGGCGGCGGCGGCGGCGGCGACGAGTTTCTGCCAGGATCGCAGGGACTTTTTGCCTCCCGAGGCGGCCCAACCCGCGGACGGCGTGCGGAGCCAGCCGGCGGCGGCGACCGCCGCCGCTTGGGGGCTCGCAGGGGGAAGGGAGAGGGGCCGAGGAGGCTTCAGACCCTGTGGATGATGGGTCTGTTGTCCACCACCACCACCATAAGTGGGAGGGGGGAGGGAGGGAGGGAGGGAGGGAGGGAGGGAGGGAGGGAGGGAGGAGGAGGAGGAGGAGGAGGACGAGGAGGAGGAGGAGGAGGAGGACCCCCTCCTCCTCCTACTTATTGTGGTGGCGGTGGAAAGCAAGGCCACCATGATGGGCGCACGATGTTTTTTCAGCAGGCGATGGTAAGTGTATGTGTTAGCTCTGGCCCGTGGGCTCTTAAGAAGCCCAACTGGCTCTGAAGCTCTCTCGCGACTCGCGCTCAGGCTCCCTCTCTCGCGGGCCGCGGGGGCTCGCAGGGGAAGGTAGGGGCCGCAGAGGCTTCAGGCCCTGGAGGGTGCCTCATCCGAGGAGGGCGGCGGTGACGCCCATGGCCAGACCTCGGGCGTCTCAAAGACATCGGGACGGAGGCTCTTCGTCGTTTTCGGCCCCCCGGGGCCCTTGCTGGGCCTCGGGATCGTCAAAAAACGGCTCGGGGTGAAAAGCCGGTTCCGGGGAAGTGGTCGGGAAGTCGGGGGCCCGCGTCTCGAAAAAATAACGATGTCGGATGTGAGGGTATCTGATCAGGGCGGGGGTGATGTCCACAGCAGGTCCACCATTGGAGCTCCACCGGCTTCCAGACCCTGGGTTCCTTACGCAATGTCCTCGCCGTAGGGGGGGGAATAGGCACAGGGTAGGGGGCCAAACAGTGACATAAACATCAAAACTCGGAGGTCCGCGCGGATTCCTCGGATCGGCGCCGGGGCCCCAGTAGCGGCGCCTCTGGCGCCGCCGCTGGCGCGCTACGCGCGCCAGGGAGGGGGGGTCCAGCGCCGATCCGGGAAGTCCGCTCGGGCCTCCGCGTTTTTATGTTTATGCCATTGCGTGTTCCCCTGTAGGGGGGGGGGGATGCATCGATCCCCGATCGCCCATTGATCGCCGATAGGGGTCTGATAGCCCCAGCCTGCCCGGGAGCGTTCGGATTCACTATCGGGGGTCTGTCGCCGATGTGTCGGAGAGGTATCGCCGATGCCAGGTCGATGTGTCCCCCCCGATGCCAGTCCCCCACCTGTCGTCGCCCCTCAGGAAGGCCCCGCCGGGCCCGGGCCTGCAGAGGGAGCTCGACGACGACGACGACGACGACGACGACGACGACGACGACGACGACGACGACGACGTGGCCCCCGAGGCTCGCGGACTTCCTGCGCACCTCGACCAGCGCCGCCGCCATGTGGGAGGCGACGGCGCGGCTGCTCTCCAGTGGCCGCGCGGCCGCGGAGCCGGAGGACGCGGCGGGCTCCTCATGGAAGACCCCCCAACAACGGCGTGAGCACGAGTCCTCGCCTGGAGTCGAAGAAGAACTCTGGGGTGGACAGAACCCCCTCCCCTGACACGTCGATCAGTGGTTTGCCCGCTTTCGGTTCTCGAGAGGGCGCCGCGGCCGTCCTTTTCCAGGCTTGCGCCCGCCAGGTTTGGGCCCGAGGTCGTTTTCACTAAACCACGTGTTGCTAAAGGGGGTTCTGTCCGTCCCTGAGAAGCGCCATAAACATAACCTCTTGGCGCTCCGTGCGGATCTCTTGGATCCGCACTGGGCTGCCCTGGCGGCGCCTCTGGCGCCGCCCCTGGCGCGCTCCGCGCGCCAGGGAGGGGGGTCCAGCGCAGATCCAAGCAATCCGCTCGGAGCGCCAACAGCTTATGTTTTTAGTATTTCTTCATCTTCTAACAAGTCCTCGCCTTGAGATCTTGGTGCCTCAATTTTTTCGAGCAGGGCTTTTTCGCCCGGTTCCAGGCTCCAGGACCCTCACAGATGGATTTGGCTCGAAAAATGGCGCCGATGGATGGGCGCCTTTGGTACGCAGGCCCAGCTCGGCCTCCCAGAGTTTTGAAATCATCCCAAAGGGAACCCAACCCTGAGACCCTGGCGCCTGAATCTCTTCACTCGGGAGGAGAAAAATACACACAGACACAATTAATCGTCGACTCCCAGGGAAATATGGGAAAATATGGGAAGTGGGGGGGAAGACAAAACCCCCAAAAATATGGGAAATATGGGGAATCTTTTTATTTGTGTGTATTTATTTGTGTGTCCTGGGGCCCCTTCAACCCGACCCTGAGACCCTGGCGCCCGAATCTCTGCACCCAGGGCGTCTTCGGCTTGGGGCCCTGGGGCCGTCGCGGCTCGAGCCGGCTCGACCCGGTGCCGCAGGAAGCTGGGGCCCAGGGCTCTCGTCGTGATCTGTGGCAGCGCTGCTTCTCTTCGTGGCGGCGGCTCTCAAGGAAGGTCCGCGCGGGCTTCGCGGGCCTTCGCAGGGCCCCCCTCCCCACGCCCGCTGTGCGGAGCTCGCCATTGGGGGCGGTGCCTGAGGCGCCGCCCAGGGGGTGGCGTGCACGGGGGGTCCGCGCTGGCCTTGTGGACGCTGCGCGGGCCTCGGAGCGCTTGTGCCTGTGCCGTTGTGTGGTCTTTCGTCCTCGTCCTCCTCCTCGTGCTCGTCCTCGTCGAGCTCGCTGTCGGACACCGAGCCGCTCTAGTGCTGGCGGCCGCGCGAGTTAGTTTGTGGAGGCGTGAGCGCTCTGAATTTATAAATGGCTGACATTGCCCTCGTGACAAGTTGTAGTGGCATCTCAGTTTTCAGCATTGCAAGTGGAGTCTAATTATGGTCGCTCGGCCAAGCTTGCGAAGCATCCGTGGAGATATGGTTAAACCATACGGCCAATGCTCTTAATGAGGCAATGCCCTCCTTTGCCCCGCTCTAATTATCCATCAATGTCTGAACTTACCCTCGTACAAAGTTGTCGAGGCATATCTGCTTTCAGCATTGCAAGTCGAGTCTCATTTTGGTCGCTCGGCCAAGTTTGCCCTGCTTCTATGGTGGCTATTGCTCAACATATGGTCAATGCCCTTAGTGAAGCAGTGCCGCCCTTCGCCCCGCAAGCTGCTGGGTAGAAAAAGGAACATCAGCTGCCCTTCTCCTTCTCCCAGGGGGCTCCGCGCGACGGTCGCGGCCTTCTGCGAAGGCAGGGTGCTTCTTAGAAGGCGTCCTCCTCCTTTTCCTTCTCCTCCTACTCGGCGTTCCTCCTCCTCCTCCTCCTCCTCGCCGAGCCTCCTCCTCCTCGTCGAGGAGGAGGAGGAGGAGGAGGAGGAGGAGGAGGAGGAGGAGGAGCCGTCTCGGAGGCATCCGAGCTCCCCCTAAGCAGCCCCCCGCCTCCTCAGGAGGCCGCTTTTCTCTTGCACATCGCCAGCAGATCGGGAGGTCTCCGAGGGCGCACCCCGAGGTCTCCGGAAGTCCCTCGACGCCTCCAG